ACACCGACACACACACACCGACACACACACACCGACACACACACACCGACACACACACACACACAAGTCCAAGAAAACGATGTTTACTGTGCCCATCATTGATGAAGTAGCTCCTACGACATCATTCGATAGGGTAATTTGGCTTTATTGATTTAGAGGCAGTATTTGTGGATCCCAAAAATCAGAGTAACGAGTTAAGGAATGGACTGTCACGCTACAGTACTGCAAAAACATCTTGTCGACAGCGTTCGATGCATGGAAGTGATTGCACTTCTGTTGACGAGTTTACAGGTCGGTTTTCACTTTGTGGCTTTCTCCATTATCACACGAGCCATTATTGATGGATAGGATGGAAAAAATTTAAAGTGAACCCATCTATGGAATTTTTTATTGATTAGGTCATCTCTCTAGTTCTTATAGTATAAATGCCAACCATTCTGGTACGAAAGAGACTCAATCTACTATCAGTAAATAGGTAAAACGCGGTGCGGTGAATCAGGGCTGCATTGAGTTACTAAATCTGCTTGTCGATTCTGTGAAATACCAGAAGAGCGTTGCGTCTGATGTTTTCATGGAGGTGTAGCCTGGTGATCATGTAGAAACACCTTTTTTTAGAGAAGCTCCCACTCAGGAATGCCAGGGTTGAAACCTAAGTATGGAAAAGTCTACATTCTCTTTGGTGTTGATTGACTAGCCTGAGACTCGAACAGAAGCTCAAAAACCTTGAGACGAACATCGGATTCAGCGTACAGAATGCATAACATTGTGGGATTGATCACTACCTAAAGTTTCAATATTTCAGCAGAGAAAAATCTGTGTATTGTTCTACACTGACTGGTACGCGTTCATTGTCCGTGAAAAAGCCTGCATCGTAAAAATGGATGTCGAGTAGCTTCCAACATCTCTGAGTCAAACGGGACTGCTCTCGGATATCGGTATGTTTATTGAGCTTTTTCATTGTCTTGGAGCAAGGAAGGAATACCTAGAATCTCAAGATTTTTTCATGTCAAAGTCTAAATTCGGTAATTTCTGTTTACTACTTTGTGAAAAGCTGGGCAGCTTACGAGCTATTGAGACTTTGGATATGGTTTGATTTTTCGGTGAAAATTTAGTCGGGGGAGGGTAGGACCATTAGAGATGCTTTTCAGCCAGAAAATATTGTTTTTACCTAACCTTAAAAACGTGAGGAGCTCCAGGTTGGATGAGATGATTAACTTGTGCAAAAAGCTGAGGTGAGATAAGAAGTGAACATCCATTTGGTCCACTCGCCCTCAGGCTTAGGTGAGAAAAACACGCTTAGGTGAAAAATACACACTTATAACATGAAAAAAAGCCGCTGCTTCCCCNCCCCCCCCCCCCCCCCAACCCCCAACTACATTTATAAGGAATGGAAATATTTAAGGACACAAGAAAGTGATGCGTCTTTTTGCTTACAGCAAACAAATTACATAAGTCCAACTGGTCCAACCAAGATCCCATGTGACACCTTTTCCTCTCACAAAACATTTCAGAAAACCAATATTCCAAACCCATAAGGCGAAGCCATTAATTTGAGAACTCGATCTTTTTCAGTCCGTATCGCATTTTGTTTGCTCTACACAGATGCCCCGTCGTTGCTATGATGGTTATAGAGGCAAATTTCAATTTTCATGGGGCGCAGCTCATTTCCTGTCGGAATCCTCCAGTTTCTCTCCTAATCTTGTCGCTTTGCATATTTTAAGGTAGGATCCGACTGGTGAGGGACGTGGCCTCTTCGGGATCCTATCTAACGTAAATGAAAGATAACAAATTTCTGTTGCTTGGGAAGCCCGTAAGAGCACTACCAACGACTCGTTGTTCAGAAATGTATTCCGATCGGTTTGTGCATGTGGCAAGGATTATTGTTAATAATTTATAATTTACCATTGTACTCAGGGTAGAATCGAAAAACAAGTCGCAGCAAAACTTGGGTTGGCTTCGTTCTGATTACAACCTCGGCAGTAACCAATTTTGTTTGAGCACAAGTTAATTATAAAAGAACTTTTTTTTGCCACCAGTATGCCTGCTAGACAACTTGCTGTATGAGAAGTTGTACAATCCACTTTACTCAGCCCAAAATCGAAGACACCCACTGCAGATTCCAGCATCTCACAAATTCCGATTCCCTAGTCAGCAGTTTAGCTATCGTCCTATTAATTATATTGATGCTAATGAGATCGCTGCTCGTAGGCTTAACGTTATCGTTATCGTTAACCATCTAAGAGTTTAGTGAAATCTCCTCTCTCAGAAGGTACATGCACTGCTACCTTTCATTTATGACTTTCGCCTTGAGTAGAGAATGGTTTTTTTTCCGGAGTACAACTTCATCTAACAGCACACTTAGAATTGTCAATAGGGAAGTCACAACACTCCACAATTCAGCGCATAGACTCTTATTGTACCGAATTTCGTCAAAACCACCACAATGAGCATTTTTTCTAGAATTTTTGCTACATGACGACCACTGGCAACTCTGATGTGGTAATCATTTGCTCTGACTTGTTGTTCCGAATCAACACAGCTTAAGACTAATGGTTGAAAAGCCACAGTTTTATATAATCCGACCGTCAGGATTGAGCACCAGCTCTTGATTAATAGGGGGTGCGCTCAGGCAAATAATCGCTTTGAGTGACGAATTACATGCCCATCACTCCGAGTGCTCAGTATCAAATCAAAAGGCATTTGGAAATGGAAATATACATCCAGGATTGACTACGGTGACTACTCCATGAAAAACAGCATTCGTTGTTGCTGTGGAAAAAGCTTGCACCGTTCTCGAATGATTAAGGGCGCTACAAAAGAAAAGGCTTTCCTATCTAGAGAGCTGTGATGCAGGCCACAGCTCAATAGAGGCGGTTATTTTGTTATAAGAATACAAACTGTATATCAATAGTGGAGGGAAGTTTGCTCACCACTACGACCACTCTTCGGAGACCGGTTTCATTACTACCCCTTCCTTCCTTTCATAGTTTCTTATCGTACCAGTGGTGCTTACAAGCTATATCCTTTTTCAAAGCTCTGCGGCGACACCATGAAGTGTAAGCCCGGTTCGAACTCGGAGTTGGTCTATAGTGCATGACTTCACTATGGACAATTACAGGAGAGCAGCGTATGGAAATATTAACTTGAGTGAGTGAGTCAGCAATCACCGTAAATGTTGCTAACTTCTCTTATTCAACAATTCTTAAATATAACCGTAATAACACATGTACAACCAATAAGACCTTGCAATATTTTACACCACGCTGAGAGGTGCGAATGGACTCCTTGAACCACGGGTCCGGGAACTTCTCCCTTGTCACGGCGTCGCACACGCCGCACCCGCCGCGGGGTCCGGGAACTTCTCCCTTGTCACGACGTCGCACACGCCGCACCCGCCGCGTATCGCAGGATTGCGATGGAAGATTGGAGCGCGCAATTTGTGAGGTAGGGAGTCCTTCAATTATTTGAATTGGCTGACCGCTTTCTTCAATTTCAATGCAGTCTTGATCGCCGCTTACATAGGAGGAGTCATTTTAATTAATCAAGTCTAATAAACATGAAAACGAAAAAGAAACATATGAAAAAACGATCAAATCCAATAAAAAAGCAAGGCAATCAACGAAAAATATCGCGTCCTATCGATTGGCAGGAGGCGGGGTGAGTACGGTAATTGCAGTGACATTTGCGGCGTGCCGCAAGGGAGAATGCCGCGATAGGGGAGAAGTTCCGTTACCCCTTGAACCACCGGTGACTGGCGGTACCCCTCCTTATGATCTTCTAGTAAATAAACTTTTTAACTGATTTGAAAGAAATGCGGTGCTCAGTGTATATTTTTACGATAATTCGTGGCAAAAGCTGTGAAGGGTAGAGTAAGCGCGAAAATGTCAGACGGGATTCGATTCCTATCTCCTGACAAAGTCAGGGTTTAATAGATTTTCATAGCAACAGCATCGTTTCAGCTTTGGCGTATTTTAATTCTTAATATAATAGATTCAGCTCACCAAAGGAACGACTTTTCGTTAGGATCGCTTTTTTCTACAGAGGAGCTTCAAAATACATATGTCAAGAGCCAGAGCTGTCACATCATTTGCGCTAAAAACCTTTTGATGGAAAGATCGTTATCATATTGGTATAAGAGTTTTGAATGCTTGGCGTTATATCTGATTGATAGATTTTTCCTTCTTCACTCCGCGGGATTCCTAATCTGGCCGCATTACACGGGTATGGGTAGTGGCGGAAGAATAACGGGGATTTCCTAGTCATTTCCGAGCTCAGGATGTTTGTTATTTTTCGCGTAGCATCTATTTAAATGCATTGTAGAACATTTTAATTGGAAATATTACTTCATTAAAATTGTATTGAAATACGCTTAAAGATGAAATCATCCGACCTCGGCAACCTGCTGCAAAATTTTATGTGCCATGATGAGAAAAGTCATTTCCTGAATGGTTTTCCATTTCTGTTTTCGCACATTGGTAAGAACATTAATGCCGGTGGAAGAGAGCGATGATATCGAAGACGGCTCATAAGGTGCTTGAGAAGGCAAAAGCAATGCTATCGCTATCGATTTCGTCCACAATATTCGAAGGGGAACATAAAAATCCGGTGGGCAGGGTGAAATGTGACAGATAACAGATGTTTGGCAGTTGAATCTGATACTAATTGGTAGTGATAAGTGCTGGTAGTGGAAGTTATAATGCATTGAGGCATTGGTTAAGTAAATAAAATATGATTGAATGGTGTATGTCTGCGGTGAATTCCACGGTGATCGTTACACTCGGATACACCCCAGATCACTTTCACTTCACCGTAACCTATGGACTCTCAATGTCGTGCCTGCTTTCTCGGTGGTTCTTCGTATAGGGTTTTTCGCAGCAGATTTTGCTAGTTGCTTCAAAGGGATCAGAATTCCAAGCACAGCATGTTACGCGAACTTATGCAATGGCGAATGCAGGTGGACTCAATGATGGCACAAGACAATCGAAGGCCGGCAATGGAAAATTTAGGGACTGTCTTTCTGCTTCTTGAGCTTTGAATTAATAGATCGACCCCCGTTTTACTCTTGTTGTTGTTGAGCTCATTCTTACGCAGTAGAGTATTCTGACACTGTTTTGAATTTCTTGAGAGAGGGACCTCGGTGAATATGATGGCGCCACCTAATTTGCATATCGCATTTCTTAGGCTCTATACGAAGACAGTGTTATTGTTTCTTCATCTCGCAATGTTTATGAAAAAAGACCTACACCCATCTGGTTGAAAAAAACCTACTCCCACCGAACTGGGAAAAAATAACCTCCTAGTTTTGGCGAAGGGGATGACCGGAGTTGGCCCCTGTTCTTCAACAACGCCAAATCAAAATGAGTGATGAAGCGCTGACCAATTGTAGGTGTGAAGCAGTACCACTATGAGGCTATTGGAGTAACACCAGCTGTCATGAGAAGTGAAAGATGAATGATAGTTTTCAGCGATTATGCTTCCCGTTCGGAAAATTTGCAAAAGCTGACACCCAGCCTCTCGTACAGACTGCATTGTGTCCGAGTGTCTCCTGGTTAAGCGCTGAGGAACTGCGATCTTAGCAATGAGGCTGTACTTCTGAGCAAATTCAGGCATAGCTGTGCCGTTTTATACTGCCCTTTTTTTGACTTTCTCGTTTCTCTATGTACTCTCCATCCTAAAATTGGCTTTCCTATTAAGTACCGGAAAGGCGACTGGGTATGTCGGATGGCCAAGATTTCCTATCTTCATATTTTAAAAGTTTATACGCGCTCTCCAGGTCACCTCGAAGAGCCTGATGAACCCGAATTTCCACCATTCTCGTGGAGCAGGATGGGAGGCGGGGAAATGGTTTTGTCAGTATCCACTCTCACTGAGTTGAGCAATAAATTCCAAGGCTCTTCAGCAAGCTTTTTTACCCAGTTCATTTATAACCGAAAAGTTGATAGTATCCACTCAGCAACACATATTATGCTGTAGACGGATTGATTCGCCGTTTATCTTACCGCGATCTATTTAGTAAGATTCATGGGTATATTCGATGCATTTGTGATTTGTTCCCAAGTGACCAAGATTGAAACGGATTTTCCCTTGCAGAAGCGCATTCAGGAGTCATCTCTGGGCTGAGAACGAGATTAGAAATCCCTTGGCATTACCGTACATCTCTGTGTGTGGGCGGCAGTAGTAATCCAGGGCGGATCTCCTTTGAGTAATGAGAAACGTGGGCGTGGCCAAACCGCTTGCCTGAGCTGAAATTCAACCGCACCTCATTCCTTTACATATTTGCTTATGGTCTTGCTCGTTTATGATCATCATCATCGCTGTGGGCGTGACGACTTACTAGATCTAGTCTGCGGGGGGGGGGGGGGAACGTGACCGGAATTCTGGCTTCTACATCCACCCAAGGTCATCCAACGCGTCGGTCGTCTTCTCCTCCTTATCCAGAGTTCATTTCCTCATTTACTCTCAATCGAAGGCACGACTTCAGAGAGGTTTTCTCCGTTTCTTGTTACACAGTAACAAGGCGGTGTAGTTTTAGCAC